CTGGTACAGGTGGATAGGTAAGCTGGGGAGCCTGACCCTGTGTAGGCACAATATAGGCATTGGATCCTTGGAATATCTCATGTTGCTTCAGTGAAGGTGCAGTGTGTGGTGTATTTCAGCACAACTAACTATGGCCATAGAACTCAAGGACTTTTCAAAGCATTTCCATGGGGAATTTATTCCATAGCTTTTGTTTTAATACAATTTCTAATCTTTATGTAATATGCAGTGGATGTATTTATAAGCCATTCCAACAATCCATATGACATATGGAAAAGTTGTCATGTTCTGTGAAGATAAATCATACCTCCAAATTACAATTTCCTGGAGCCAACCACGTGGACACAAGAAATTAAACAGGTACAGTATTACCTTTTTTCTGAAGATTATTTAGACCACCACCAAAAAAAAAAAAAAAAAAAAAAAAAAAGAGCTGGTGGTGGTTTTGAGATGGAAATAGGCCAAACAATCACCACTTTGAAAAAACATGCTAATGTAAGTAAATATAAATTACTACACTTTGGTCACCTTCTTAGTGAGGACCATGTTTAATGCCTGCCCAGAACCAACAACACCGACTGCACATCAGAGAAATCAGATACTGATGGGGTCAGAGAGTTTGAAAATCACAGCTGAATGATGAAGCATCAGTGCTAAGAGGACTGAGAAAAAAACAGCCAACCAAAACCTAACACTAAACAAAACCAAAAAAGCACCCAAACAAAATAAAGACAACAATATTCGGAACAAAATGTTATAGATGAACATTTTATAATGTGTTAAAGCTTTTTTAAAACATGTCATACTGACATACTTAAACTTTGGTATAATGCCAAAAACCTTTAGGATTAACCTTAACATTTGAATTATAACCTGAAGAATGCAGTGGAATAATGCAGTGATTAGCAGCTTTACAGCTTACTGGAATTCAAACATGTCCCCACAGAACATAGTTTCAATGCTTGTAATCATAAATCAGCTGTACAATTGCAGTATGGGGACACATTTGGTAAGCAAGGGTTAAGTCAACAATAGTTTTCTTGCTCAACACAAGAAACAAGAGACACTTCAAAGATTTTTTTTTTTGTTTGTTTTTTTCCCTTAGCATCATCTGGATTTCTGAAATTTTTTAATTACCAGCCCGAGCCCTCAGTCAACATCAGGACTTACATTGAAGATTACTCTCCTGATTTGACTTATGTTGTGTGTGATCTCTGAAAAACATACCTGCAGCTACCTTCAAGTGCTCTGGTGTATCTCCATCACCTCTGCTACTGATTCTGGGTGTTCTCAGCATCGTTTTATAAACACAAGATATATCTTTGGAAGCTCACTGATACTGGGCTGGGCTTGAATCACGTAATAATATGGACCCAAAGATGCCTTCTAGCAGAGAGCATAGCCCTGTGTTAGGGAAAATAGACCAAATAATTTTCAATGCCAGTCATGGGGAGGTCATGGGAAAGCCTTTTACTGGGAACTATGAGCATGGTCCTTCTATGGAAGTTGAACAATAGATTAGGACTTTAAAAATATGTCTAGTGTTTCAAGGCTTTGCAATGGCAGGAGTAAAGAATTTCTTCCTAACATCTAATCTAAACCTACTCACTTTCAGTTTGAAGCCATTCCCCCTTGTCCTGTCACTACAGTTCCTGATTAAGGGTCCATCTCCATCTTCCTTGTGGGCCCATTTCAGGTACTGGAAGGCTGCTATGGTGTCTCCAGGCAACCTTCTCTTCCCCAGGTTGAACAGCCCCAACTTTCTCAACCTGTCTTCATATGGGAGGTGCTCTAGTCCCCTTGTCCTTGATATCAGGGTACAAAGTCATGACATGGTTCACCTCATTGTAAGGGAAGAGGGAGCACAGCTCCCCATGTATGTTTTCTTGCTGGGCAGAGGGTGGCCTTGCAGCTGGGCTGGTCCAGTAGTCACTGTAAGAGGCATTAGGGTAAGTGTGTGCTTCCTGGAAGAAGCCCAGTCTGTTGCTGGAGTCTAATAGAAAGGGCTGCTGTGGGGGCTGGCTGGGGAGACAGTGCTGCTGCAGCTGCTGCTCACTGTACAGGTGAAGCGTGTCAGGGGGAAGAGCTGTGGACTGCAGCAAAACATGGTGCTGAGGCTCTGGGGCCTGTTTGTGCTGAGCACCATCAGGGATATACTGACTCCTCTGACCTGCTCTGTGCATGCCACAGCAGTCCTGAGGCCAACTGTGCTCTGGGCACGTCCTGCCTCGTGCTGGTGGGAGTACCACTTGCTGGAAAGGACACCCTGGTGAGCAGGTGTGGTCCAAGCTATGAGGGTGATGAAGTGAGAACAGCTTGTTCCTAAGGTCACTGCAGTGATGTGGATTGTCCATCACCTCTCCATCCTGAGAGGTATGAATGGACCAGTTATAGCTGTAGGTGTCATCCCCTATTGACATTGCTGACATCTTCTCCACGAGTGGCTGGTCTCGCAGCGGCTCTGGCTGTGGCAAGTGCTGCAGGTCCAGCCTCAGGTCAGAGCTAGGACCACTGACCCAAGCACTGGGTGGCTGCTCAGGACAGCTTCCCTGGGACCACCCTGGGTAGCAAGAAGGCCCTGTGCAGCCTCTGGCTTCTCGCAGAGTTTCTGTGCAGGGTACAGGCTCTCGTCTGGGCTTGCAGTTACACCTCTCCTCTTCTTTCCCCAGGGTTATTGGGACCTTTGTTTTAGCCCTGAGCTCATCAGCAACTGAGATCTGAGCTTGATGTACTCTCTCTGGATGGTAAAATTTGCATTTATTGCCATAGGTGCATTTTTTACCTGAAAGAATCAAAAATATCAGACAGGAGGTTGTCACTAGCACCAGCATCAATTAACGCACTCCCCACTCCTCCCCCAGCACCAGAAATTTGCAGGGGTGTGATGAGCATAAACAGAGAAAAAGGGAAGTGCTGTTCTCAAATTGAGTACTGTTGACCCCAGATTTAAATAATGCTGACCTAAATAGCAGGGTGAAGCAGCAGTGAAAGGATGTTTCTGCTATTTTTGGAACTGTCTGAAATTTGTTTTGGTTCCTCCACTGAGTGTGCTGGGAGACCTGCTGCTACAAAGGGCTGCTCTAAAAAATGGCATAAGGATTTAACTCTGAGAATTCTGGACATTGTTGGAGAGCTGTTGAGAGGGGAGAGAGAAAAAGTGTTTGGATGGCCTTTCCCAAGTGCTACAGTGCACAGTGAGAGTGTGGGCAAGCAGGGTGGTCAGCACGGCCACGGTGCTCAGTTTGAATGCTGTGTGCAGATAAGGATGGAGGAGCCAGAAACAGCTGCTGCCTTTGCTGAGGCTTAAGCCACTTAGGCAGGAGAGGAAAGAACATCATACCTTTGAGCAGCCCCAACCCAAGTCCCCACCACACAAAGCAGGCAGGACAGCATGTGAGAATGCTGCTTGCCCTTAGCCAAAGGACAGCACTGCTAGGAAGCAAGGGGCAGGAGTAAGAGGAGGGGCTGTTCCAAGCATGAGGAGAAACTCACCATAGGGGCAAGGCTGCCATTTTTTTTCAGAAAGCACTGGCCTTTTTCTGAGGAAGTTATTAAGAGTGGGTCCATGTCGGCCTAATGGATCATCAGGAGGCATAAACCTGGAAAGCAGAAAAAGTCAAGGATGTTAGCATTTGTCTGTGCACACTGGATATCTCTGAGTGCATTTCCCCAGCCAAACCATGTCTAATGAACACCTCAGCTATCACAAAACTCAGGAGAGGTTAGTACAAATGGACTGAGGAGCACTTGGCTCAGCCTCCCAGGTATGGTGCAAGCACCTTAATGAAAACCTTCCCAGTGGGGATGGTGAAGGGCTAGAGAGATCAGCTGCTCATCTCTCCTCTTCTAGAAAGTTATGGTCACAAAAGCACAGGAAAAGCGCTGTCCTGTTTTGTAGGGGAATTAAAAATACTGCCACCCAGCCTCGTCTCATGGATTTAATTCTGTTTCTTATAGGAAATAGAAAAGATGCCAAGACTTGGTTTAACATCCCAGCTTGGACTGGAAAGAAGCAAAGCTGGTCATTAATGCTGCCATTCAAATAGAAAAGTTCACAGAAAAGTGACATGGGAGGGTTTAGGACCAAAGCTGAGGGAGTAGGAACTCAAGAAATGTGATAAGGTGCAGTAAATTCCTTTCAGAAAAGGGCTCATGTTGCCTGCTACCAGTGGGAGGTACATTGATGCTGGAGCTGACCTGGCCCATAATGTTTAAATTCAAGCTTATATAACACCAACATTCTCTTACCTGTCACTGACAAAAGAGTACATGAGCAGTCGCTGCTCAATGAACCATTTCCACTCAGGGTTTTCATTCTGGAGATCCCTGTAGTGGTCATTGGAAACAATGACTCCATCTTTCTCATAAGCAACTTTCACTATGTAACGATCATCATAGCAAACCACCCTCTTGCCTTTCACCTTCCGAGAGGGCGTGTAGACAAGGATCGACTGCTTTTCAAGCTCTTCAAGAATGTGCTGATCTGGGGGGCAGTTGGCAGAAATAGATGGGGAAATAAAAGAAAAGAAAAACTAATTCATTAGGTCTCAATCCCCTGCTAGAAACCTACAGGGATCTCAAGATGTTTCAGCACTTTAGTCAACTTATGGTGGTGTAATTTTCAGATGTGCTGATATCTGGTGGTTATTTGGCAACTTGAAAATTAGGTCTTTTACAAAAACATCTACTTGTAAAAGTTGAGATACCCTTTTTTGATTTTTAAGTCTCATTTGTAAAAGGATGCCATGAATTCTACACCAGAGGCATATTGAAGCCCTGTAGTGCCCTTTTTACCCTGTTAGATGCTAGAAGGCTCATAATCAGCCCTGATGTGAGCTTTACTTGGAGATGCAATGTGATAAAATAAATGAATAAACTTCTTTTGCTGCTATTGAGGACACTCTGACCTCTTGCCATTCTTGCTCTGCAGAAAGGCAGATCCCCAGTCACCTCATCTGCAGACACCAAGCTGCTGCCACAAATCTCACAGACCTATTTCCATACAAACTGAGTTTCACCCTCCTCCACAGACTTCTGCTGATGCATTTCCTTCTCCTGGAAGAGGAATCCATGTACCTCCTGTATTGGGTAACAGGCTAACAGATAATACTCATGCAATAATGAATGTCTCAGTCTCCTGGTTGGCCCTAAAAGCTCTGTACACTCATTGCAAGCTGACAAACTCCTTTAACTCAGCTGGCAGCAACTTCTGCTTGGGAAGCAGAAGGTTCAAAGCAGTGTAACAATGCTTTGTAAGCAATTTTAGCTGCTAGCCAGGAGCAGTGAATGAGGCAATGAATTGATGACTAACTTAAGTGAGGTAAACCTGATACAAAACTTGCACTGTTCTTGTCTCTACAGGGCAAAACTGTACTGGGTTCTTCACACTCCCCTCTGCCTCCAAACTGCACCTAATGGTTGCCAAATTGTGCCCAGGATGGTGACCTACCTGCAATAGGACTGTCTTGACGAGGGGGCTCCTTTCTCCAGAGTGGGACAAAAACCTTGATGTATGTGTGCCCCCTCTCTCGAAACCAATCCACTGCCAGCTGGATCCCCCAGCAGGAGAATACCTCTTTGTTTCCATGACTACAAAAAAATGATGATGATGATGAGGCACAGTTTTTATGCTTAGAATTCTCTTTAACTGAGACAGTAAAGAAAAGGCAATATAAACAACTTCTGTGTCATTCACGAGTGTCTAAGAAAATGACCCGGCAGGGTGTCCTGGTTGGACAGATCCAAAGACATCTTCCAGAAGAACCAAAAATGTTTAATCTGAAGCTGCTTGGATACCTAAAAACAGAGGTGTCCTATCCCCATTTCTGTGGCCTAAGCCTCTTCCTTCCATCTGTATGGAGTGGATGGACTTGGGTCCTATAGTACCAGCAAGATCTTAGGCCATGTCAGACCCTTCACCTTCCTTGTCTGATAAGGCTTTGAGGAGTGAGAGTTTCTTCCAGCACAAGCAGAAACCCAAAAGAGGCTCCTCTGTGAGAAAGAAAATGTGAGAATTTTCTTCTGTGGCAACAATGCCATTAGGGATTTTAAAGTCTGAAGCAGCTGCAAGTGTGATCACAGAGCATTCAACTACTTTTGGAAACAGGAGTCAAACTATGAGGGAAGGAAAACTGTAAGAAGAAGCATGGGAAATATGGAGAACCTAACCTAGGACACCAAAAAAGGGTCAAGACCTCAGGGGAGATGGTCACAGGCACCTCAGGCCCATATTTATCTTGCCCTAGTTACTTGGTTTTGTCTTCATTGCACATAGAGATAGGAACACCTAGGACAGGTGCTGTAGAAGGTGCCAGCAAGGCAGGTTCTGAAGAATTATCAATATTCAGTGTAAGACAGAGAATGGCCTCAAGAAAAACAATTAGGAGGGATATCCTTTCTAAGTTTTTCCCGGTCTCTGAAAGTTCTTACTGGTTGACATTCCACATATCTAAATTTGGCTACAGTGCAGTGCATGCATAAAGGAAGGTCATTTGTTAACTACCTCTGCACAAGGAAACAAAAATAAACTGTATACAGAATCCTAGATGGATAAACACCCTGACAGTATCTACAGAAACCTCATTCTTGTACTTTGATATTTCTGGATAATATCACCAAAGTCTCACTCAGGTTTTTACCTCTGCAAAATGCACTTGTAAATGTACTCTCTCAGTCACTACACCTACCTGCAGTGACAGACCAGTCAAGGACAATGTTACAGTTTTAAATGATTCTCCCACCACCATCCCCCAGGGATTCATCTCTAGGTTCTGCCTACCTCAGCCTCATAACCAAAGCTCCATTTTACACCTAATAAAAGTTTCCATCCTGAAATGGTAACCACAAATGAAAAATACCACAATTTGGAGGAAGAAACCTGGTTGCCTATTAATAGATACCAAGAAAATAGGAAGTCTTATAAAACCCTTGCCCATAATAAATGCTCTGAAGTGCTTGACACACCTAATCTCCATTCCAGAACAGCTGTTTTGTTTGGTTTTAAAGGATGGGATCTATGCAGGATAGGCATAACATTGCCTGGAGATGTGACTCAAAGTTTGGGTGACTTTCTCAGATAACTGCCCTTAAAAGGCAGCCTAGGTACATGTCTGATGCCATGACTCAAAAAAAGTTCAACAGCCTGCTTTAACATTGACCACTCATACATATAACCCTGTGAGTTTTAAGAAAGCAGTTCTAGACGTAGCCCAGTGCAGATGGTAAAGCATTCAAGCACAAGTGAGTCAGCCAAAAGGCCAAGTGGAACAGGCAAGATGAGACACCTGGAACTGTTTCTCAGGGTTACCACTTAATCCAATTCAGTCCAATCCAATCCAAACCTGGGGACCATGTATTTAACCCAGAGTGGTGTGCTGCAGTGCCCACGCAGCTAAACACCAGTGTGTGCTGTGCAGTGGAGCAGAGGCCTCAGAGCTTTACATTCTCCCTGCATGGTGATAGATTGGCTCCTGTCAGTCACCTTTTCCATGCAACCCCATAGTCCATGGACCATAACTGACCTGCTGCAACTCAGTCCCATCTTTCCCTCCTGCCAGCAACAGGGTATATTGCACTTGGGTCACAGACCAGTAGGGCCCATCTCACAGAAAATGAAGCAGCAATTTGGCATCACTGCTACTCCAGCAGTTAATCCATAATTAGCATGCAGTAAGTCCTTTTTAAATTGTGCAATTCCAACCCCTTTGAGAGGAAGTTTAGACAAAACAGCTCCTTTTGAAAACTGCAAGTGGCCTCATCTCCACCTGGTCATGACAGCATCAGCCACAGCTTTGTCAGAAAGGAGAGAGCCTTGTGCAGGGCTGCACTGGCCTAGGAAAAGGTTTCTGTACCTATCACAGCTTTAAAACTAGCTGTGAGTGCAAGCACTAGAGCAGATAAGCCTCATCAGTGTGCAGCGAATAGGGTTATGACAGTTTCCTTTTCATATGAACATGACTCCGTTTTTGTTTTTTTTCCACTAGCTTTGCTAAACTGTCCTGCCCACTTCCCAGGGATATGCTGGCAGGCAGCAAACCCTCTCATTACATCTGATGGAAACACGAAGTGCACTGAGACATTTGACAACTGAGACTGGCCAAAGGTAAGGTTATTTTCCACTCAGTTTCTATGGGTAAGCTGACTGATGGTTGAAGACTCACTTTGTTACTGTGGGCCACATATATCCTTTTCAAAACCTTGCACTCCACAGTGGACCACTCTGAAATGCTCCAGAAACACCAGTCCTATGATATACATGCAAATGCTAGAGATATTTTTCTCCACACAGGCAGATGCCTCTAGAAGCTTTAACTTTTTGATAGTTTCATCTGTAAACTGCTTCTTCTGTTGCACTTTTATGGTTGGTGTTGATGATGATGCAGGTTTCCCCAGCAAGAAAACCTAATATCCCTTTCCCCTGATTACTGCAAACAGTCTTTCTCTTCCTGACAGCAGAAAACCAGAAAAATTAAAACAAGGATACCTAAAGCACTCCCCAGGCCTATCCCATTAGCCAAAGTAAATGCCATTCAGCACCACTTTGAAAGACATCCAGGAGAGGAAAGCAGCTCCTTCCAGGCTGTGCCAGTGCAGTACCAACTGAACTGACAAACTCAATAGTTTTCTCCATCATCCAAATAGTCTTTAACTTTATCAAGACAAAGTTTGGGATGTCTGAGAAGAGAAGGGTGATCAGCTCAGCCACACTGCCTGAGTGGGTGCCCTATTCTTTTGCAGAGATCCAAAAGAATACCCTGAGGAGGGGCTAAGGTGAAAATGCAAAGAGGGGCAGGAGATCCTAACACCTGGCTACCGAGCTCATGGCCCAGACACGGCTAAGCAATTTTGCTCTGCTGTATATTTCTCATGAGCTGCCCTGAGCAAGAAACCCCTCGTTTTCAACTGGGATTTCTCCCTTCACCCAGAAGATGGCATAACTTGCTTAGTCTCCAGTTGCTCTGTATGTGCTTGTCCACTTTGCTCTCTAACCAGAGTGAGTGTGATCTCATCTCACCTCACACTACAACTAAACAGGGGGAAGCCTTCCTTGGCCCTGCCCCAGCCTGTTGAGTGGACAGGGAAGTTAACAGAAAATGGATGGATAGCCAGTGTGTCCTGGATTCTCGACTCCTGAGGCCTCTGTCTGTCCATGTTGCTGGGGTAAACAGAGACCAACCTACTGCTGTTTTTGGACATCCCATCCACATGGATGTGCGAGGCTCCCCATCAGTGAGGGTGCTTTCACAGTGTCAGGGCACTGCCTAGAAAATGTATTTAACTAGGATGGGTTTATGTGCCATTTCCCAGAAACAGAAATATTAAGGAGAAAATTAGTCTGTTCAATTTAAGTCAACAATCAATTCACTGATATTTCCCTAAAAATGAAGTCAAATTGAAACCCAACAAAAAATATACGAGCCAGGAACATTGTTGGGGTTTACTTGCAAATCAAAACAGTACAACTGTGATACTGTTAGGAACCACAGTCACTTGTCTTTATTCCCCCTCTCCTTGTGAGGTTAGTTGGGTGGTCTATTTATCTTGTCCATCATTTTTTTCTGGAAGCATCTCAGCATATAGGTTTAGAAATCCTAGATACTCATCTGAAAAGGCAGGGAAATTCAATGGTGAGCTAAAAGGGAGAGATACTTGGCACAAACAGTAGTGGTTAGCCAGCTGTTGTCTTCTAAAAGGTCAAAATGCAGAGAGAGCCAGTGATTGCATGTGATGTGCATATTTATGGGCATCAAAGACAGCAGGTCCTTAGAAGCTATGTATCAGCCAAAGAACAGGAATAAGAGATTGTTCATACATTATACATCAAACACACCAATGCACCTCTCAACTGAATTGCAAACATTTTCAAGCCATCAGCTTTAAAATTCAAAAGCTTCAGAGGAAGAGAAATCCCTTTAGGAAATGGAGCTTACCTCATTGCCACATTGCTGCCATCGATCACAATGGGTCTCAAGGAAGAGTCACTTTCATCTTCTCCAAGCCACTTCAACCCTGGTGTAGTGCTACATGATCCACGGGCAACGAGTTTTAGTGAGGAAGGCTGAGCCTGGGTCTCCAGAGCTTGGGGTTTGCTCCCCATACGAATCAGCTCTTTCAGCACATCATCCTCTAGAGCGTCTTGGCCCAGGTTCTCCAGCACTTTGCAGATGTCCTGCTTACCGTAGCCCAGTTTGCAGAAAAAGTCCAGCTTGCTCTGGTGCACTTCCACCCCTGCTGCAGAAACTTTTCTGGAGCATGGTGATACTGGTTTGCTAGAAATTGAACTGGCCAGTGCCATCTTAGCAGACATTTACATTCCTTTTAACCCAGTGCTCCTGTCTTCCCAGCCTTGTCCAACAGGCATCAGCTTTAGGGAGGGAAATATTAAAAACAGCAAAACACAAGCGTTAAGGAAGAACATGCAATCATCTCAGTTATTTGCCTAGTGCCAGCAAAGAGACCATCAGATCAGCTGTCTTCTCTCTGAGGAGACTGTCTAGAATTTTCTCAGCATTAAAGCATTTTTATGGTCCACTCTTATTTATGAAAGCACCACCCATGCAATGTTTGTCACTCTCCAAACATGATGTCAGAGAGGTGCCATCTTACTTCCTGAGCTATGCTAGCCTGCCTGTACACAGACAGGCTGTATGTTTGAGTTGGTTCTTCAGACTTACCTCACAGGAAATGATACAAAGGGCAGTGTAACCGGGGATTTTCAATTTGCTCAGTGTGGTTTGCCAGCCAGAGATAAATATCTGTCAAATGCGACCGCATGGGCTCAAATGCCATAGCAACTTAAAAAGTATAGCAAATTTCATCCAGTGATTTAAGGAAAGGTGCTGTTTGCAAAGTAGCTGGGAACTCTGTACTTTTATTGTAGGTTTGCCTCTCCTAGTATGTGTCCACTTGTATGTACACAGACATACCTCATGAAATTCTGTCACTCATCCATTCTGATGATGCTTAAATTACTCTTTTCCTGTTACTTGCCATTCAGTGGGGGCTTTTATATTCAGAGAAGCAGCTTGTTTTTTGAAAGCTGTCTGGCAGTGGTTGGAATCCAGCAGTCTGGAAAGTGGTTTCAATTTCCCTTAGATTTATTGTAAAGAGAAACTGGTAGTTCAGAAATTAGTGTGCGAAAGTAGCAAAAAGCTACTTCATACTTCTCCAGAACTGCACCATGTAAGTTTCAGGTCTACCCAGTGAATGAAGGTAATGAGCAGCATGTGCAGGCATGCCCAGGACTGGTTCAGCTCAACAAGTGTGACACAGAAGGATATACACAGCAACCACTCATCCATCAAGCCAAACATCTCTGCTCACTGTTGGCATGCTTGCATTGAAGCTTCTCTTGCTACATCACTGCAATTATTGATGCTCCCTGGATAAAAGCTGTGGCTCCTTCTTCTACCCATGCATAGGATGTAAGGGTGGCCTCTTCCCTTCGCCGATTGTGGTCAGCAAATGATGCAGAATTAACTGACCAAACAACTACCTCCATGACGAGCCCAGAGCCATAACCACATTGCACCCACCAGCTCCCATTCCCTGCCCTCCAGTCACTCCCTGCCCAGCAGTAGGCCACCCCAGGAGCTCAGAAGCCAAAAATAAGTGGAGAAAAGGCATGGAGATACAGGAAAAAGGGAGGTGGAAGAGAAGACAGAGCTAAGCTCCTCCCCAGGGCATAACAGCCCCTCTGAGCTGTGGAGAAGAAATGCCCACTGGGCTCAGTTAATTTCAACTAATGAGTTGAGCAGGAAAACCTGATAATTAGCTATAACCCGACCTCATACAACTTTGACCATTCCTTTTCTACATAGCTTTATACCATGCAGGTATCCTGTGGAAGAAATCTGGCACTCTGTTAAAAGTGACAAACAGCATCAGTAAAATAAAAAACACCTTAAATATGTCATAATCATAAGGGGAAAGCAGTTACCATATGTATTTTTCCATCTAAACTGAAGCATTGCTTATTATAGTTGGTGACTTTTTCCTCACAGTGCACTCCATAAGTGTAAGAATTTTTACATCTAATCCTTGTATTTAATTCATTGACTGAATATGAAAATATATTTTCCTGCTTTTTCTTTGCTGAAATGGTTTGTCAGCTTTGAAACAGCTACTTTCTGAGCTGAAATACATCAATGTACACAAATATAGCTGAAGCTGTCTCATCTGGGCTAGCAAAACCTGCTTCCAGGTGTGTGGTCATGTTCTACTTGACTTGTTTACTTCTTCTGATCCCTAGATTATTTTAATAAATTATTAAGGAAACACTTTAGTTGCTCTCTTGTCCTCAGGTTGAAAATAAAATATTTAATACATATTTTAGCAGCTATAACTATTATTTTTAAACCTGCACTTCTATCTGTTCTGATATCAGAACAATTTCCCACATTGGCATCACAAGTTATGTGTATGTTTGTCCTGGATTTCATCAGAAAGTAGATTCAATTCAGTCCTTCAAAATTTTACCAGACAACTTTCCAGCTGCAGGGGGGGCAGAGGCCACATCCACCCTGCAGTGTACACCTCGCTGCTCACCACATAGCTTTTCCAGCTCCATCCCAGGAAGCACCAAGCCCATGGTCCACATCCACACTCTTTGCTTTGTTTGGCAAGGCTTGGTCCTCCTGTACAAGCAATGAATCCCCTTGGCTTGGTGAGCTGGGGCAATGCATGGGAAACACTGAGCTCTGGCTGTCTGCCTGGGGCTGATAGGATGCAATATCAGCCACTGGATTTCTGCTGCACTCTGACCAAATATTAAAAATGGGTGATACTGTCATTGCAGGATTTTCACCACAGAGAGAACAATCTAGAAACACTGAGATGGAAGCCTTGGTCACAGCCAGCACTGAGGTCACCCTTCTAAAGAGGGAATTAAAGGATAATAAAATCACTAGCTTACACACTAGTATATAGTCAGTAGTGTGCCCAAGTCCAACAGGTCAGTTGGTTGCTTATAATCAGCACAAAAAGCATATAGCAAGAGGAGAAATTGTGCATCACAGAGTCCAGCTTTTGCTATCACAGACAAACAGGTTGTAAAATCCCATTTATTACCTTAGTTTTCAAACTAGTTAGATTTCCTCCTGCCACTTTCCTCCCTTCATCTGATTTTGTTTTCACTTCGCTGAAAGCCAAATCCTCATTTCCCAGCTAAATTTGTCCACAGGTAATGGTGTGTCCATCCTATGTTCTAGCGTAAAAAGCACCACTCTGTCTATGGTGTTGTGATCCCTCTTACACACACACAGGGAATGGTTTCAGTCAGGCTTCCAAAGTTCTATTTTCATCTTAATATTTTAAAATGTTAACTTTTAAAATATTAACTATTTTTAAAAAGTACTTTTGACCAAGAATTGAAAGACCTCTTATGGTCTTCTGTCGTTGTTATATTTTGACAGATTTGTAAGATTAGAATATAATAATTTGGAAAAAAACCCCACAAACAACAAGAGTGCTAAATCTTGAATGACTTTAAAGAATAATTTTTCCTCGCCCTGCCACGAGGTGTTCACTCTACTTGCTCCCAGTCAGAGCAGGACCCAGTGCCCCTCAGATGTGTGTTCGAGCAGCACCTCCAGCAGACTCAAGCCACAGAACCACAACAAGGACCAGCTCGACACAGAAGTTTGAGGAACTAGGGCTCCTCAAAGCCCTCACCAAAGCCCTGTCCTGCCCAAGCAGGGGCAGAGAGGCCACGGCCTCAGCTGGACCTGGCACTGGTCAAGGCAGAGCAGGTTTAGGTCTTCTCTAAAGTACGTGCGTGTGCGTCGTAACACAAGGAGCACAGCAACAACTCCCTATCATGATAGTGCTCTCCCTCACACCTCAGCTCTGGACCACCTCTTCTTCCTCTGCCCCTGAGATTAACGCTGCAAACCACCCGAGTCTGACAGCCCACTGGAGCCCTGCTGTGAGCTGCTTCTCTGAAAGGAGATGGGCTGCTCTGTTTTCAGAAAGACGAGAATTTTTACTTTCACAAATTAGAGATGCACATAAATTCTTAATAACAAGAGCGGTCATTTGTTGTCTTGATGAGTTAAGAAAAGATTTGTCTTTTTTCCCCTCACCTTCACTGCTCTGTTTGCCAAAAATAATAAAGCCAAACTCCCCAGAGACCCAGCTGTACTCACAGGTACCCCCACTCACTCTGCACCTTACCTGGCAGCTGTTCTTTCTGTGTCCCAGCAGTATTGTCCCACCAGCTGCCAGCCAGAAGCTGGATTCAGAGCAGTACCAGGCTCACAAGGAAGTCCCTAGTTCGTATTTAGAGGCTTTATGGCAAGGCTGATGTCAACTGAGAACAAACAAGTGCAGTGAGCAGGTTAGAACTCACTCTATAGGAAGGTTTTACTTCCTCCTTTGGCTGGCCAAGCTCTCGTTTAAGTGTACAGTTTGATAAACTTTCACTTCATTTTTCAAAGGGAAAAAAAAATAAAAAGAGGTTCCCAACACATCTCGGTTCTGAACCACAGGCAAAGCTTAGTCAAACCCACTCTGGCAGGGTTCCATAACACTGGGCAGTAGGAACATGGCATAGGAACTCTGGGGCAAATGAAAATTTTCCACCGGAGTTGCTCTACCAAGTTGTGGTAGCCTCATTCCCATGCATCTGGCAAATTTCTGACCTTCAGGGACACAATAAAACATCAAAACCCAAACAACCCCCTCTGACCTACTAGTGCCTCAACTGGAAGGCTACTGTGCAGACATGCAGCCAGCCAACAGCAAAGACTGGCAGGCACTTCCCAACAGAAACCTGAGGGTTTCGTCTGCTTGTTCCTTACCTTGCTGCAAAGAAATCCAATTTTAGGCAGCTGGAAGGACTGGAGGCTCAAGGAGGGAATAACTTTGGGACCTTTAAGATGCTGCAGACAACTCTTGCAGATGCAGTGCTCTCTACCCCCAGGGTCAGGGAGACTAGGGGCACCCCACTATGGAAGGAGAGGCCTTTTATCACTGTCACCGTGTGACTCACCGAAGCAGGGTTGACCTTTCCCAGTCAGAAATGCCCCCTACTTGTTTACTTTGTGGGAGGAAACAGGGTGTCCAAACCCTTTGTAGTGGTATCCTCTTTAATCCAGACTGGCTGTTGGTAAGTAAGCCTCACCATGGTTTCCCAGGCGGTTCAAGTCAATAGTTATGCCTTTACATCACACCCAGGCTCCTGGAAACTCTGGGACTCAGGATGCCCTGCTGTTGCATAAAGAAGCACCCAGGCAGCCTTATCTATGCTACCTCTGGCACAACACTTCTGATCCACAAAGGGCTGGCTGGGCAGGTGGGTGGCTACAG